GAACCTACTGATGAGTCACCATCGATGCAGGCCAAATTGGTTCGTTAGTTTGAACATTCTATAATAATGATTATAATGATTTTTTCGATTAATGTCCTAATCCTTTGAACAATGCGAAAAAAAAATAGCTTTTGTTAAATAGCTTGGCCGTATTATTTACAATCAAGTATTTGGCACAATACATTTTTGGTCATCCAGCACCAGAAATTTTTGTCACAGGAGCCTTGTTAACTGTTCTTGTAAGTTGTGCATATTCAAAATTATTATTTTTTTAATATCATTTCTAAATCTTTTTGGGTGATACTTATGTTTTTCATCTTTTTTTGTTGATAGTTAATAACTGTGGTCATATATCACTTTGAAAATATAGGAATTGTTAAACCTGCAATTCCTCTTTCTGTTTTATGGGGAACTACTACCCTTACTACATTATATTATACAACATCTACTCATGATATTTCACACGAGATTTATTTGGTGTCTAGTTTATTAATGTTTATGTTAGAGTGGGCTTCGCCGCGCAGACATACTACTAAGGTATGTCATTGTCTTAAGAAGCAATTAAATATAACCCAAATGAATTTTATCTTATATTTGTATATACACATTTATTTTTTTAATAATTAGGATAATGGCTCAACAAAGTCATCTCCCAAAGCTGAAACCCCAGTTAACCACATGAAATCCGAGTAAATCCGAGTAGTTGTTAATATATTATAATCATTTTGTTAATTATCTTTTTTTCACATTATTTTATTCATTAAAAAATGTCAATTGTCATTCATTATTTTCATTGCTCACTAGTTTTTGTTTTTATTTTAAAAGTTTTTTTTACAAGATAATTAATTATTAATTGTGAATTGTATTCTTTTGATGAATTAGAAAGTATTTCTTCATTATAATATTCCTACAAGTATACGAACATAACTGAAAACTTATAGGTACCCATCGACCACAAATATACTCAAAGGTGTTAAAAAGAATACTTGACTGAAACAAAGGCACTCTACAGCATGAGCAAATACATGGCGGGTAATCAGCTGGTATATAAAGACGTTCCAAAATATCTTTAACAAGAAAATTATGAATACAATTTTTTGTCTGAGAACACGGAACCTTTTTAGAACAATAAAAATGCTGACCCATTTCTAACATTGTACTTCCAACAACTTGAGTGCACATGTCAAATAAAGTCGATATAATGCCTCCAGCTTTGCTTGGATCGTGTTGTGGCCGTTCAAAAGGATTCCCTTTTACGTAAAGAGTCTTGAGGTTTTCCAATGCGGCAAACTCTGCGGGTAAACATGTTAAATTGTTGTCGTTCAGATTTATAAATGTGCATTTTTTACATTCACGAATTTGTGATGGCATTTGCTGAATTTTGTTGTTATAAAGAAATAATTCTCGAAGAGAAGTTAAAAATCCAATATGAGGAGGAATCAGAGTTAAGTTATTGCAATGTAAATGTAGCTCTTCAAGAGATTTTAGATGAAAAAGTGATTCCGGAATGGTTGTAAGCTTATTATATTGAAGATACAGTTTTCGAAGCGACACGAGATATGGTACAGCTGGCTCGAGAATTATCTATAAAATTATCAATAAAATTATCAATAACGAGTGAGTTACTTATAAGTGAACTATTTATAAATAAATTACATACCAAATTTGAAATATTTAAATCACCTAGCCTAACTTCATTTTTACAAGGAAAAGTTCTTGTTATAGTTCTATAGTTTTGTTTATTATCGGAACTGTTATCCTCCAAGGGCCTTAAGTAATGTGTTGTTGTATGTCCACCTTTCAAGTCAATCTTCATATTCCAAAGTACGACAGTATGTTCATGTTTGTTTATTCCATTGCCTTGCAATATTGAAAGGTATTCTTTTCCTTGTAATAATTCCATTATCGCTTCCTGAATTTATTTTTTTTTTCTCAAGACGATTATATCGATAGTCTACACTCCTGCACGTGAACAGACCGACATGATAAACTGATATCGACATTTTTTAACATGCTGCACTCACGATGATATCAGGCACAAGATGTGTGTTCCGCTCATTAAACAAAAATTTTTTATGCAATAGCGCATTCGTCCGCCAATTCAAGACACACGCAAATTTTCAACCTTTACCTGTAAATGAGGCAGACGAAATTCTAGAAACTCATTATATTCCAGGTAGATACCTTCATTTTATTAAAAAGAATAAAAGACAACTTAAAAAGGAGGCTCGCGAAGTTCCATATGTTGGGAATAAGGTAATGCATTTCCAAGCGTGTGATTCTGATATCATATTTACCGAATACTGACGCGTTTTATAGCCAGTTTTGAGAATTTCTGCTCGCAATTCAGAATATCTCAAAAATGAGGAAGAAGCAAACAATAGTGGTAGCGATTTTTCAACAACTTTAAATCACACCCAGTACAATCTCGCTCAACGATTAAACCGCGCAATTATTAAATGTAATGATCAAGTTCCACACGTGTATTTAACTTCTACATTCATGAAAATTACCAGTGTACGTGCACATAATGAATAAGTTTTTGCGGGAATGTCCAAGATTATGATTAATTTTATTATTCTGTAGATAACTATATCTCCAGATTCAAAATTTGCGCGAATCTGGTGGAAACCTGAAGGACAGAAAGGTATTAGTAAGGTAAAAAAAAAAAAAAATTCTAATTTTAGTTTAAAATATATTCAATGAGCTCCTAATTAATTTGTCTGTTATATATATGTTAAAGGCTGCTATAGAACAACACCTTCATATTCATCTTGCTCAATACCGTACTATGCTTCAACGCTCCATGCGTGTTCGTAAACCGCCAAAAATATTATTTTGTCGTGAAGACTTACAATTAGGTGATATCAACAAAATTTTGGATCAAATTGAAGCAGAGATCAAAATGAATGTGGGTTCTTCAACTAATTTAGACTGATGCATCACCCAAAGTTGTACATTTTGATG